GAACCAAAGATCTTACATGGCCCATACAGACTATCTTATAATTTCATAATTCCATGGCAATTCAAACCATTTTATACTGTCAATAGTCTCCATTTATATGAGTTGGAATCAACTCATGTATCTTATTTCATTTGTAACATAAGAACCTGAAAAGCACCTTCAGATAGCAATTTGTAAATGGTCTCATACAATTTCAGTTTGTTAAGCATGAAAGATTTAAAAGAACTGTACCCAGGACTGTATTATTTATAAAGTTAGGTATGAAATAGCATATCATATAAGAGACTAAAGCAGAAACACTAAAATGCTAGTCCGGGCCTGCATTATTAGTGTTTTCAGATAAAACATGAGTCTGAACTTGGAGGATTGGGGCAGATGATCATGGACCTCTGCAGCAATCACTAAAGCAATTACTAAAAAAAATCTCTTTACTGTGATATATAATGTAGTCAAACACTTTGCTTTATTTTCATTTAGGTACATCCTGCAATCTTGGCAAAATAAACATATATTAATTGCTTTCATTTGACTTAGAACGTCTGTTGTGGTTATGATCAAAAACAAAATGGGAAAAAATTATCTTTACATTTAGAAAAACACTAACCTGGATGAATCAAGATGGTGGAATATGGTAAGGACATGTTTAAACAGATGGAAAAATATTAGCCAGTGTAAAGCATAGAGGGTACATTCCAGGAAATACAAGAGGACAGAACAACAGCAGAGGGGTACCTGGAGACTGACAGACACAGGGAAGCAGCAAAAACAATGGTGTGGTGTTGTAGTGACTGACACCCCAATGGCATTCAGCAACCTGCAATCTGAACTCTGCCTGCAGCCAGAACTCCACCAGCAGGTGGAAGGGACGTTTACTGGGTGCTCCAGAGGTGAACCCAGACAAAGAACTACTCGTCCTGCTGGTCTGTTTGATTTGACCAGGAGGAGAGATAGAGCAGCAGGTCCAAGATGGGCAGTGCAGGAATAGTGTGGATTTCATACCCCAGTTCGCCTCCTAGAGCCATTCCGGGTGCCATTTTGTTTAAGGAGGCAAGGGCTATGGGGCAGGATTGCACATGCACAGACTGGGAGTGAACTCATTTCTGACTCAGTGAACTGCAACAACATGGTATCCTACAGGCTCCACCCAAGATAGATCCAGGTGGTCCTCAGACCAGATGGCCAGAAGATCAAAAAATCTAGTAGTGGCACATCAGGCACCATTTCTTACAGTGTGGCAAAGAATTTATGGCTGCAGGGGACAACAGTGAGATGCACATGCACTGAGCTGCACGCGACCTCATTGAGCTCAGTGCATTGCACTGGTCCCACAGGAAAACAATATCAACTATGGCATTGTATCGATCAAAATAGGTCAGCGTGGCCCATAGACCTAATGGCCAACAGGTTCTGGCAAGATCTGCAGCACCAACAACCTAGCTATATAGGACATCTGGTGTCTCCCTAATCCTAGGACCTGCTCCAACTGAAAGTGGGAGAAAGGTGTACAGACAATGATGCAGCCACAGCATGGTATCACAGGAGGTGGAGACTGGTGAGCCAGGAGCTGGGGTTATGAAGACCATTGTAGAAATCGTACATAAGAACCCAGACCTGGAACTCACTGGAGGTTGTGGCACAAGTGATGGTAAACAAAGAGCCATGTACCAAATACAAAAAGTAAAATCGAGGTGTAGACCTGTGCGTGAGTGACATAATTTAAAAACCTGTCCCAAGGAGAAGAATCTGCTAACCAGAAATACAATGACCAAGAGCAAAATAAGAGGAAGAGGCACAATGAATATATTACTGAAGATTCCCCTGCAAAGAAGCAAACACCTTTGCCAATCTCAGAGTTAATTGAGGAAGACATCAAGAAAATGGGGGATACAGAATTCAAAACATTTGGCATAAAACTTTGTATCAACAAGGAGAAACCTCTAAGCAGGAATTCAAGGAATTTAAGGAATTTGCCACACTGGAAACGAATCAAATGAAAGCTGATATATCAGAAATGAAGAATGCAGTGGAGCAAATTAAAAGTACAGTGGAAAGTCTTCAAAATAGATTGAAAGAGGCAGAAGAAAGAATCTCAAAATTAGAAGATATTTCCTGTCACCAGGGGAAACAAACAAAAAGCTGGAAGCAGAGATGGATCAGGGCAAAAACAGGTATTCAAGAATTGAAAGACACTATTAGAAGGACAAATATAGGAGTTATGGGTTTCACAGAAGGTGCAGAAAGAAAGCTGGGTTTACAAATATATTTAATGAAACAATATAGGAAACTTTCTCTAATCTAAAGAAAGAATTGGGAAATAACATCCAGGAAGGGCACAGAACATTTAACAGGCTTAACCAAAAACAATCTTCACCACGACACATGATCATCAAGCTCTCTTCAATTGAACATAAGGAAAACATCCTTACATGTGCACATGAAAAAAATCAATTGACATGTAAAGGAATGCCATTTAAACTCACAGGAGACCTCTCTCACAGGAAACTCTAAGGCATGAAGAGAATGGAGTGACATATTCCAGATTCTATAAGTAAAAAATGGTCAGCCCAGGAACATGCCCAGCAAAACTTTTTGTTGTCTTTAAAAATTAAATAAAATTCTTCCAGAGTAAAGAAGAGTTAAAAGAATTTGCCTCTTCCAAATCTGGCCTACAAATGATATTTAAAGATGTTCTCTTGACAAAGAAAAGGAATAGCACCCACCAAACCAAAGGCAAATGTGAAGAACATCCAAATAAAATAACAACAAGACTAAATCAAGGAACAACTCGTTGCTAAAATGACAGAACCAAATTACCATTTGTATTAACCTTGAATGTAAATGGCTTAAACTGATCAATCAAATAGCATATATCAGTAGACTGGATTAAAAAACAAAAACTCATCTATTTGTTGCCTACAGGAGACATATCTCACCAACAAAGATCAGTAGAAGCTATATCTCACTGATTTTGATTATTTTTTGTTAGTTTCATCTTTTCAAAACAGTTTCTTCTAATTCTACATGGACTCATAGATCATACAGTAGCATCATTTTCTTCAGGAGGGTTCTTGATTTTCTTTTACATTTCTTCAGTGACACGTTAGTCATTCAGTAGTACAGTAGTAGTATTAAACTTAGCATTGGGTTTTCCTCCAAATGAGGTCTATTATAATTAAAATATGGACCCTTCTCTTGGGGCTGAACCAGAATGAGAAAACCTAGGTAAAACCTATAAATTATGCGGTAAATACAGTAAGTATACACTACATACAGGAATGCCATCCAGAAAGCAATTGAAGTTGTTCAATTTTGCTGAGAACATTTTTTTGTTGTTGTTATAAAAGATAATCGTTGGGCAGAGTAAGGAAGGCCTGTGCTTTTGATGTGAGCATTGCATATGGGTAAAAGCCCAAGCCCCGACTTTTCGACTTCCAATCCACTTTTCTGGATGTGGTCTCGGAAAAACAGCAGAAGATGGTCCAAATATTTGGGACCCGTTCTTTCCATCTGCGTGACAGACCTGCTGAAGCAGCTGGTTCCTGGTTTCAGCCTGGCCCAGCCATAACCATTGCAGCCATCAATGAAGGACTGAAACAGATGATGCAAGATCTCTGTGTTTTTGCCTGCCTCCCTTCTCTCTCTGTTTCTCTCTCTCTCTCTCTTTCTGTAACTATGACTTCTAATACATCCCTTTTCAAAACATTAGAGGTAATAGTTAAATCCTAAAGTAACTCGACATTTTTTCCAAGTACATCTAAACAAAGACATTCCCATAAGAAAGGATGAATGGTATTACAGAAACTTTGAGGGCAAGCTAATGTATTCTGGATCTAAAACAACTTGGGCATCAGACAATGTCAAAAGATGATGTGGGTGAAGAAATCAGGATATTAATCCTCCACCTGCAACTGTTGCCTCCCCTCAAGGGTACTGATTCTAGTCAGGCTGTTCAACTTGCAGTATAGCTCTCTTCTTGTAGCCTGGAAAACCAGCAGAGGAGAAATTGAGTCTTTGATCCACATGAGGGATCCAAGAGGAATCTCCTGGACCCCAGCTTCAAATGAGCTCAGCTCTGGCCATTACAGCCATTTGGGAAGTGAACCAATGAATGTAAGACATCTGTCTCAATCTCTCCTTTTCTCTCTGCAAAAATCTCCTTTCAAATAGAATAAATAAAACTTTAAAAAGGAAAGCTTTTGATTATATAGCTATCCAGTGCATAGAAATAACCTATGTTTTGTGAAAAGGTCTAAGAGAGTAATTGTTATGTTCAAAAGCTTTTGGATACAAAAATATCTCTTTTGGTTTCACTTTTTTTTTTACTCAAATGAGATAGAATACAGTATTTTATTTAAATATATCTATAATATGCATGTCAAAATCCTTTTATTTGAAATGTTTAGCCATCTAAATACTGTTATTATGAACATTGATTTTATCTCTTTGTTTGATTTTTTTTTTTTAAAGATTTATTTTTATTATTTTTTCATTGGAAAGGCGGATATACAGAGAGGAGAGACAGAGAGGAAGATCTTCCGTCCGATGATTCACTCCCCAAGTGAGCGCAACGGGCCGATACTATGCCGATCCGAAGACAGGAGCCTCTTCAGGGTCTCCCACGCGGGTGCAGGTTCCCAAAGCTTTGGGCTGTCCTCGACTGCTTTCCCGGGCCACAGGCAGGGAGCTGGAAGGGAAGCGGGGCTGCCGGGATTAGAACCGGTGCCCATATGGGATCCCGGGCGTGCTAGGCGAGGACCTTTAACCACTTGCGCCACCGCGCCGGGCCCCTCTTTGTTTGATTTTGATGCTTGAAAAGTAAGCCAGAAATACATGAATGGAAATATTTAGTTGTCCAAAGAAATACAATAATACTATACATATGGATGATGAGAATTGTCAGGGAAAAAAGAATAATGCAAAACATGTATTGCTATAGTTTTCTAAAATAAAACATCAGTAATCCATGCTGAAACTCCAGCTTCTTGCCAGATTGATTAATTTTAATAACTGAAAAGAGTATCCTTTAGATTCCTGGGAATGCTTTTCCAGTCATGCATCCATTTTCCAAAACCTGGTAAAATTCCATTGTAAAACAAGGTGTTGCTCAATGTCTTATCCTAGAAAGAAAGAAGTGTTAAAAAATTAATCTTAATATTTCACTTATAAATTCCACATGAAAACACATTGAAAAGCAAAATACGGATTGTAAAACATCTAAGTACAGTATTTTTACTTAGATAAAATTTAAAGAAAACAGAAAATCACAAATTTCTACTGAATAAACTGTTTCAGCAAACATATCTACACATTATTTCTCAGTTTTAAGTTTTTTGAACTTTTCAACAACAACATGGCTATAGAACTTTTTTGGAGATTTCTAAACTTTTTTTAATTTGGTAGTTTATTGATATTAAACATTTAACAAGGAACTATCCTGCTACTAATGTGAACTAAAAAGCAAGGAATCATTTGTCCCATTTTCATAACTCCTCAAAATGATAGGCTCTTACTATTGGAGTTGTTTATATTATCATTTATATGTGCAGGGCTTCTCTTGTGGACCATCTTTAGGGGTCTCTCTCTCTTTGCTGCCTCTCCTTGGATGAGGGTTGTTTAAATTTCTTTGCTTCACTCATTCCACAGGTCGCTATGTACATTGTCTTGATCGGTGCCATCAGAGGGCAGATGGCGTGGGTCATTTCTGAGCAGAGCCCTCAGGAGCCATTAAGTGTTTCCTGTGCAACCCATTGCTTCCCCATGACACTTCCTCCACTGAGCCCTGGCATGATATACACACACAGAAAATCTATGTTGGACAGTTGGGAAATGCATAATCCTTTTTCACAGTCCCTGAAGGTTTGCAGGCCAAAGGAGCCTAATTTACACAAGATACTAATATTTTAAAATGTACCTCTTTCTGTTCCTTCATTTAAAGTGGCCTAACTGCTAAAGTCCTCGCCTTGAATGCACCAGGATCCCATATGGGAGCCAGTTCTAATCCCAGCAGCCTCGCTTCCCACCCAGCTACATGCTTGTAGTCTGGGAAAGCAGTTGAGGAGAGCCCAACACCTTTGGACCCTGCACCCGTGGGGGCCATTTGGAAGAATTTCCTGGCTCCTGGCTTTGCCTTGGCGCAGCACTGGCCGTTGTGGTCACTTGGGGAGTGAATCAACGGATGGAAGATCTTCCTCTCCATCTCTCCTCTTGTATATCTGACTTTGCAATAAAATCTTTACAGAGAATGAAATAAGAGTGGCAGGCAATAAGTGGATTTATAAATAAGCAGAAGGAATACATTTGGTTCAGATTTCACAAAAAACAATATTTGATTGATTTTTGGATTAGGACACCAATGCAGTTTTTAATGAAATTCAGACTTCAAGGACTCTTGTGAATGATGATCTTACAATGTTCTCTGGATGCATAAAATAATAAAGTCAATTTTAATTGTTAATCCAAGAACATTTTGCAGTATTAGAACAAATATCCTCAAAACAATTAGAAAATCAGTAATATTCAAATTAGCAATTTTCATTTTCTTTTTCATTTATTCAGCCACACATTGGTCATTCAGTAGCATGTTATTTAACCTCATGTTGTTAATATTCTATTTTTTCTTCCTAATGTTGCTTTGTTTTATGGGTTTTCATTTAAGGTGATGCATAGTAACTGTGCAATGAAGACTCATATCCAGAAGTGAAGATGCAATGCAGTATTCATCTCTACTTCCAGAACAAAGTTGGACTCCCATGAAACTGTTAAATATATCTTGACAATAGGGTGCTGGACTGTCTTCCATTGTCTATACCTACAATCTAAGGATACACTTAAATAGTATAATGATGGACTTATGACTATTTATGAAGGGCTATAATATTGTGATGATATAGGGGAAATTAGTGAAGAGAAGGGTTTTGGGTAGCAGGTGAGGTAAATTCCATAGCCTATGGAACTGTATCATAAAATAGTAAAACAAATAAATTTAATAGTAAAAAAAAGAAAAGTATGACAAAAATATAGCACAATTAAGGCTTGCGCAAATTAGTATAGCATCCATTGCAACACAATTTCTAGTGTTTTTGCTTTTTAGTTGTCAGGGTAATGTATTATGTTCATTTAGTCTTTATATCACATTTCTTCATTTGAAGGATTGACATACTATCTTGCCCTCACATAACATGCCACTGTGTTTTATTTTCTATCCAAGTGGACCATGTTATACTTGTTTCCCATAAAATTTGGAAAATTAAAAAAGTTCCAGTTAAAAACAGTGAATCTTATAGTAAACACACTTAAATATGATAAGCTAAAATATGCTAATTTTTCCATAAATAATGCTAGTAGTAATTTAAAGATTAATAATAAATAGATGAATGTTATCTTATAGATACATGTTTTCAATCGGAGATCTGAACATGTGAAGCTGTGGTCCAGAAGCTGAGAAATTCTGAATTAAGCTTATAGAAACTACGTAACTGTATAAACCCTACAGCTGAAGTGGTGAAGGCTAGACTTGATTTAAATTCATTCCTCTTTTACTATAAGAAGCATTACTATTACATAAATATCATCAAAATATTCACAAATCTTAAATTTTATAATGATTAAAAACTTATTAGAACAGACTATAGATCCACAAGATATTAGAATATCAGCAATATACCAATATGGAGAATACAAGTTATGGATACAGAAAAACATATCAAATGAAACTACAGGATCTTTTTGGAATTAAAATTAAATCAACTGTTTATATTTTATTTGTATTTCTATCTTTACAATAACAGCTAGAGACCACCCAGAGTGAAAGAGAGAAAAAATATGTAAAATGAAACAGGTCAAAGAATAATTCATGGGATAGAACAAAAGTAGTAATAAAATATAATTTCCATTTAATAGAATTGACTGAACTTTCAGATTAAATGTAATTATGACTTCATAGGCAGGTAAATAAAAAAATGATATTTTAAAAATCTCAAGTTTCCCATTTCCTGTAGAGGACAAATTTACTATAACTAGACATGATTCTGGCAACAAAGAATATAAACTGACCAACACTTTTGCAGGAAAAAGCAAGCTCATTCCACAGTACTAAGACATATTCTACCATAGAGTATAGGAAATAGAATTCATTTTTTCTAATGATTTATTTATTTTTATTGCAAACCCAGATACACAGAGAGGAAGATCTTTTGTCTGATGAAGATTTTTCACTCCCTAAGCGGTCGCAACGGCTGGAGCTGTGCCAATCCAGAGCCATGAGCTGTTCCAGGTCTCCCACACGGGTACAGGATCCCAAGACTTTGGGTTGTCCTTGACTGCTTTCCCAGGCCACAAGCAAGGAGCTGGATGGGAAGCGGGGGCCGCTGGTATTAGAACTGGTGCCTATTTCGGATCCTGGGGTGTTCAAGGCGAGGACTTTGCTACGCTATCACGCTGGGCCCTACTCTATTTTTATAAATTAATTTTCACCAAAAAATTTGTTTTCTAGATTTACAGAATATTGGAGTTAGTCACTTTGGATATCACTTGCCTTCTGCTCAGGCTAATGTCAATGTCATGATCTAATGCAATTAAACCGTTGAGGAGGAACATCTGGCTCTGTGAGGTAACTGAAGCCGCGCTCTGCTTTGAGCACATTGATCTCAGAACTCTTGGTCACCTTTTGCAAGGCACCACTGGCTACATTCTACCTTCTGTATGAGCACTGCTATTATTTTATCCAAAATGTGCGACCTGACCTGAAGTGTTCCCATAAGGACACTGGCACAGGTTCCCCGCCTGGAGAAATGCGGAAAACTCCAATTCCTTTATACTTGTTTCCAGAAATTCTTGAATACTGCTTAACCCTCGCATCTTTGGCTGATGATATGAAACCATTCCTTTTTTTTTTCCCCTTCTTCTTACTCCAATATCTGCTATTAAAATATAGCTTAACAACATTCCATTCTCATGCTTTATAAGTATACTGTGTAGTGACATTAAGTACACAGCCACGATTCTAAAACATCACTACCTTCGATTTTCAGAACTTTTCATCATCCCAAACTGAAAATCTACCCTTTAAATAATGATTCCCTTTCTGCTCTTCTAATCCACGGTAGCTATGATTACACCTTTTGTCTGTCAATTTGAGACAGGGTTTGACTAATCCAAATACTTCACACTTGTAGAATCAATACCATATTTGTTCTGCAGTGTCTGAAATTTCACTTAGCATAATGCTTTTTAACATTCATCTATATTACAACATGGATCAGAAGCATTCTTTCTTACCATATTTCTTTAGCTGGAAAATATGATTATTTGGCAACAAAGAATCAGAATAAATGAAGTAATGAAAAGCAAATTAAATCATTTTATTGTCCTGAAAGAAGATAGGGGGAGGCGGGGGAAGAGACTGTGAGAGAGAGTCTTGAGAGCTGAAACGGGGCTGTAGAAGCACTTGCATTTTTTCCTTTGCACTGGAAAACTAATTTGAACACTTTTCAGCACTTCCTCATTTGTGATTAACACAGGACATACAGACTGTTAGATTTATTACCTTATTTGACTGTATACAAACACACTGTATCTATTTCCCAAATCTTATGAAAAACAGCAGGTTTTTCTATTAAAAAACTATTCATGTGATTCATGTAAGATGTCACTGTTATAAAACAATGAAGTGAGGATAAAGATTGCCAAGTTAAACACAAAAGGCAAGATCTGTCTGCATATTCCCATACCCTTAAACACTTATTCCAGTGTGAATTTCCTGAGTTTTAGATGATAGAATTTGGCCCACCAGTGAGTTCATTCTCAGAAGATCTCAGCTGTCTACAACAGTTGCTTCAATTTTTCCCAGACAATTATATCTTTTATGAAAAGGAACAGTTGAAGAACAGGCAAGATCAGCACAAGAAAAATAGTCTACATGGATGCAATGGTTTCACTCTGCAAAAGTAAGGAAAAGAGCCAAAAAAGTATGCCAATATGCCAGTGGATTCCCAAGAACATGTCACGTGAGTAACGATGGGAAACCCAGTAAAACACAAGGAGAAAATTACTTTTATTATTTAAGAAATTAGGTAATTTACTAAATTAATGGATACTTTTCTTGAACAACTTGAGGCAG